CATTGGCTGCAGACCTGGCTCCATGTACAACCCATACCAGGCAGGCTCTGTACCCCACTTACAGCGTGCAGAGCCAAGGTCAGCATATTCTAAATGCAGCACACTGGTTTGTGATCTATGGGCAGCACTGAGGGCCAGAAGATATAGCTCTACTGGCTGAATCTAGCCCATAGGCCATATCTTTGACAACCCTGCTTTAAGTGATTGTGTATGTATTTTGAGTAAAATCTGTGTACTTGCTGTTGAGTTATTTGTTTTGCAGTTAAGTTGTTTGCTTTCATTTTTGCACACAAGCCTCTATGGCTAAAACACAAAAAATGACATTTCCAGGTAAACAGTCTTCACTGCAAATGAGTCTCCAAGCCATTTGGTAAATAACATGCAAAATGAAAGTTCTTCTTTTATTATAAAATCTATATGTAAAATCTAAAATTGGCATTCCAATACTATTTATTATCATATGGGATGATTAAATATATTATTAAAACCTGTAATGTTTGGGGTGTATTTTCCACTTGAATATTTTTATTAAGTACATTTTTTATTTGTAGCAGTGGCAGTTTACAGGGAAATCAGCAGAGAGATTAATGAGTTTCATCTTTTGCTATCCCCTTGTTGGGAACCAAAAGAATTGCATACAAATGTTTCCATTAAGGTAATATTAAGGTAGTCTGAAACCTGTTATGAAAATGAAACACCTTTAGCACAAAATGGCAGTCATCCTTTAATAATAAAAAAAATGATGTTTGTTAATTGACAAAGTAGTGTCCTAAATATGGATAGGTAAAGGTTAATATGAGCAGAAAACAGTTTAGGAAAAGCTGCTTGCCTATCTAGCCAGGATAAGAGGTCTGTGTTATTGTTTTTATTGAAGTATAATATGTAGATGGTTTCTTTACAAAGGAAAACACGAATAAATGAATGTTTTATAATAGTATTAATCTGTAAAATGGCATGCTGTATACCACTAGACCATGAGGATGAGGTGGAGAGGCTTTCTTCAAACACGTTTCCAGATCACGTGCTCTGGCTTTCACAGGGAACTTCACTCACCCTCACATCTGCTGTATTGCCTTCCCAGCAGTGCACAGGCAATCCAGTGAGTTTTTGGAGTGTTGGGGATAACTTCCTGGTACAAATATTGGAGAGGCTAACTAGGGGTTGTGCTCTTCTTGATCTGCTGGTAACAAACAGGGAAGAATTGGTGGGGAATGTAGCAGTGGATGGTAACTTGGACAGCAGTGACCATGAGATGATTGAGTTTAGGATCCTGAGGAAAGGAAGGAAGGAGAGCAGCAGAGTAAAAACCCTATTTCCAAAAAGTAGACTTTGACTCACTCAGGGAACTCATGGGCAGGATTCCCTGGGAGGACAGTCTGACGGGGGGGAAAGCAGTTCAGGAGAGCTGGTTATAGTTTAAAGAAACCTTACAAAGGGGCAGAAATGAACCATCCTGATGTGCAGGAAGACTAACAAATATGGCAGAAGACCAGCTTGGCTTAGTAGGGAACTCTTCAATGAGCTAAAACACAAATAGGAAGCTTACAAGAGGTAGAAACTTGGACAAACTACTAGGGAGGAGTATAAAAGTATTGCTCAGGTATGCAGGGATAAAATCAGGAAGGCCAAAGTACAACTGGAGTTGAGCTATCAAGGGGTGTGAAGGATAACAACAAAGGTTTCTTGTTGCAAGTATGTCAGCAACAAGAGGGAAATCTGGGAAAGTGTGGGTCCCTTACTAAATGGGGGAGGCAACCTATTGACAGGTGATGCTGAAAAGGCTAAAGTATTCAATGCCTTTTTCACCTCTGTTGTCACAGGCCAGGTCAGCTTCCAAACTACTGCACCTGGTAGCATAGTCTCGAGAGGAGGTGAGCAGCCAACAGCCATGAAATAACAGGTTAGAGACGATTTAGAAAAACTGGACGTGTACAAATCCACAGGATTTTATGATGCACCCAAAAGTGCTGAGGGAGCTGGCTGATGTGATTGCAGAGCCTCTGGCCGTTATCTTTGAAAACTTGTGGCGATTAGGAGAGGTTCTGGATGGTTGGGAAAAGGGCAAGTATACTACCCGTCTTTAAGAAAGAGAAGAAGGGAGATCCAGGGAACCACAGACCAGTCAGTTTCACCTCAGTCCCTGGAAAGATCATGAAGCAGGTCCTCAAGTAATCCATTTCTAAGCACTTAGAGGGGAAGAAGGAGATTAGGAACAGTCGGCATGGATTCACCAGGGGCAAGTCATGTCTGGCCAACCTGATTGCCTTCTGTGGCGAGATGACTGGTTCTGTGGATGCATGGAGACCAGTGGATGTGGTATACCTTGATTTTGATATGGTCTTCTACAATATTCTCACAGGCAAGCTAAGGAAGTACAGGTTGGATGAATGGACTGGATCATGGTTGGATAAGGTGGGTAAAAAGCTGGCTGGATCTTTGGGTTCAAAGGGTAGTAGTCAATGGCTTGATGTCTAGTTGGCAGCCAGTATCAAGTGGAGTGCCTCAGGGGTTGGTTTTGGGGCCGGTTTTGTTCAGTATCTTCATCAGTGATCTGAAAGATAAGGTGAAGTGCACCCTCAGCAAATCTGCAGGTGACACCAAGCTGGGTGGAGTAGTACATACACTGGAGGACCTAGGGCTAGGATTCAGAGAGACCTCAACGAATTGGAGGATTGGACCAAAAGAAATCTCATGAAGTTCGGTAAGGGCAGGTGCTGCAAATCCTGCACTTAGGACAGAACAATCCCATGCGCTGGTACAGGCTGGTAACTGTCTGGCTAAGTAGCAGCTCTGCAGAAAAGGACCTGGGGATTACAGTGGACAATAAGCTCAACATGAGTTTACAGGGCATCCTTCTTGCGAAGAAGGCTAACAACATGCTGGGCTGCTTTAGTAGGAGTGTTGCCAGCAGATTGAGGGAAGTGATTCTTCCCCTCTATTCGGCACTGGTGAAGCCACATCTGGAGTACAGTGTCCAGTTTTGACCCCCCCCGAAAGTATGTGGACAAATTGGAGAGAATCCAGGAGAGGGCAACAAAAATGTTTAGAGGGCTGGGGAACATGACTTAGGAGAAGCTGAGAGAAATGGGCTTATTTAGTCCAGAGAAGAGAAGACTGAGAGGGGATTTAATAGCAGTCTTCAGTTACCTGAAGTGTGGTTACAAAGAGGATGGAGCTAGGCTCTTTTCTGTGGTGGCAGATGTCAGAACAAGGAGCAATGGTCTCAAGTTGCAGCAGAGGAAGTTTGGCTTAGATACTAGGAAAAGCTTTCTCACCAGGGGGTTAGTAAAGCATTGGAACAGGCTACCCAGAGAGGTTGTAGAATCTCCATCCTTGGATGTTTTTAGGACCTGGGTGGACAAAGCTTTAGCTGGGATGCTGTAGCTGGCATTGGTCCTGCTTTGAGCAGGGGGTTGGACTAGATGATCTCTTGAGGTCCCTTTCAACTCTAATTTTCTATGATTTTTTGTTGTTACAGAACAACAACATGTAGTTGGTGAGAGCTCTTTTGATACATTTCAGTTGGTATTCCATTGGGCCTGTATACCTTATTGTTCTTCATCTGTTTAATGGCTTTCAAGACTTCTTGATAAGTTGGTGGATCCACAAGGTAGTCCTAAATGGGGTGTTGTGGAATGGCCTCAGCGGTATTGTCTTCAACTTTAGAACCTCAGTTCAGCAGCTCTTGAAAGTGCTACTTCCATCATCCATTGATGGTGGAACTCTTTAAAGAGTGTTGTTCCATCTTTGGATCATGGAAGCATGGTTCCTTGAGTACATGTCATTGCCAGTGACATGTCCTCAAGGATTATCTTGCATTGCCTTCTCACCACTTGTTCAAGTGATGAGCACCAATAGCCAAATGTTTAACAGTTTTATTCATAGATATAACAGCAGATAATTATCTTTATATTAATTAGACATTAATTATAGTTTCATTAGTAGATCATCAGTCAAGATTTTATTTACTCTAACTTGGTACAAAATTGAACAAATAATAACAAATATTTAAGGTTACAGTGGACCATAAGATGAATATGAGCCAACAGTGTGCTCTTGGTGCAAAAGTAAGCCAACAGACTATTGGACTATCTCTTGCAAATCAAGGGAAGTGATTCTTCCTTTTTGTTCAGCACTGATGAGGCCCCACCTGAAATACTGCATTCAGTTTTGTGTTCCATACTTCAAGAAAGATGTGGATAGATTGGAAAGAGTCCAGCAGAAATTGACAAAAATGATTAGAGGTCTGGGAAGCAGGACTTATGGGGAAAGGCTTGAAAGAACTAAGACTGTTTAGTCTAGGGAAGAGAAGGCTGAGGGATGATTTGATAAAAAATAAAACAAAATAGTTTTCTCTGTGGCTGTAGGAGTAAATTTATGTTTGAGGTAAGGGAGAAGTTTCTCATTACGGGAGTTGTTGAACTTTGACACCTACCTGAAGAAACTGTGGAACTGAGCATTGAACAGTTGAGCATTGAACAAGCTACCCGGAGAAACTGTGAAAACTCTATTCCTAGAAGTTTTCAAGACCAGATTAGACAGACACTTGGCTGGGATGTTTTTAGCCAAGACTTTGGGCAGGGGGCTGGACTAGATGACCTAATGAGATTCCCTCCAACCTTAATGTCCTGTTATCCTATGTTATATTGATGTTAAGAGTGTAAAACATTGCTTCTTCAGTTATTATAGTGACCTTTCATAAATAAAAAGGACAAGGAGAAAATACCAAGGGCTATATTCTGTCATGGATCAGTTGACCAAATTCTCATTTCACTTGAAACATGGCATAAATGAACCTCTGTAGGTTTTTAATGAGTTATGTTAAGCTGACCTAATTTTCTCAAAAGACGCATTAATTAAATTGTTTTTAGTGATTTTTATCAGGTACTGCTAGGCTGGAAAGATGAAAGGCAGAAAAGTTTAAATTATTAATGACAAACTGCTCACATCTTCCTCCCCTTTTCATGCTTTTGATAAATGAATGTCCTTTGTATTTGAAGGTGCAAGCACAAGTACGCCACACAAAACTGAACTTTGACAAACTGAAGACTGATGTCTGTCAGAAAGTAGATCTTCTTGGAGCTAGCAGATGCAACCTTCTGTCTCATGTACTAACAACATATCAGGTATACAAAAATATTTTGATCGCAAAAGATTGGTTTCCTGTTAGCAGAGCACATATTTTTTCAAAATAGTTCAGTATAACAGTATGCTGTTGACTTTAAGAATGTTTCAATATCTGGGGAGAATGAAAGGTTGTATTGCATGCTTTGTACTGAAATATTACTTTCCATGACAGACAACCCTTCTTCATTTCTGGGAAAAAACCTCACACACCATGGCAGCTATCCATGAAAGTTTCAAAGGTTATCAGCCATATGAATTCACTATGTTAAAGGTAAGAAATCTGCAGATGTATTTTGTTGTCCATTTGTCAAACTGTAGAATAATTTAATAGAAACTGAGGGAAAAAGCCATAAACAAATTTGGGGTTTATGTTTAGATCTTAGGAGTTTACCACAAATTGTTCAGCAGCAGTCACTGTGTATGTGCCTTACACAATGTGTTGGCATTTCTTTTTGTTAAATGCACTTTGGTCAGCCTTTGCAATTTAGAGGAGCTAAAGATACCTTTATTGTGTGTAGTGCTATTACTTAGCTCCCACTTCAGAAAAGCACCCTACTGTAGGCCGCCTACATGCATTTCATCCCATTATAGGCCTATTACCCGCATTTCAGGACATCATATAAGAATGTATTAATGTGCTATGGAATGGTAAAGAAGGGCCAAAAAGAGTAGTTGGCAACTGGGATAAAACCCAGAATTTGACATTGTTCTCCAAAATACCACAGATTGGCTACCATATTGCTTTAGCATCTGCTTTTAAAAATCTGAAGACTTTTCCCTTTAAAACAAATATCTTCTCACATTAAAAAGTCCTTTCCAGACTTCCAAGTACCCAGGGGGTATGTTGATATGTGCATTAGATCCAGGAGCAATTTACTCATGAATAAACACTCCTAGGCAGTTGTCCGCATGTACAGGGAAGCGGGAGCAGATTTGCTGCTCCCACTTCCTGGAGCCCTGCAGTGATCCCCTGCCACCACCAGGGGGAGCCCTTCCCCCCCCAGCCCAAGAGCTGGCAGGGAGCACCAGGCCAGGAGACAGCTGTTTCCTGCATAGGGTTGGGACATTGCTCCCTACCCCCAGGGGGCTACCTGCTACTGGGGTGGGAACTGTCCCCCTCTGCCCTGGTAGCAGGGACCTACCTTACCCCTGAAGCTCTTCCCAAGCCCCATGCCTCAATCACCCAATTGGGACACAGGGTTGGGACCTGCCCCTGACTGGAACAGGTCCCAGCCCCTGCTCCACGATTGCAAGGTGGAGGCTGGAGAGCCTGTTCCCCCGCTCAGCTCCATAATCATGGAGCTGTATGGGGAACAGTCTGGGGAGTCTTTTCTCTACTCAGTTCCACGATCTTAAGGATTTCCCAGCCTGAGCCCCACAACCATGGAGCTTGGGCTGGGAGATGAGGACCTCCCCGTCCCCACCAATAGTTATGGTGAAGCTGGGGCTGGGAGATGAGGATCTCTCAGACCCTGCTCCCCAATCATGGTCTTGAAGCCAGGGGTTTGGAGCTCCCTGCTGCTGGGGCAGAGACATAGTTCCTGCCCGAGCTCTGGTGGCAGAGCTCGCCCTAGCAGCAGGCAGCTCCTGGTGACAGGGAACAGTCTTCCTCCCCTTGGTGACTGGCTATCCGGGAGCAGATTTGCTCCCAGCCAGGCGTCTACATGAGCACTACTGTGCAGTTAGTAATTGCACTTATATTTGCTACTTGCATTTGCAGGTAGCAAATTTACTCGCTATTAGTGAGGTTTACTGTGCAGAAAGCATGTGCACGTTAGAGGCACGTGCTTATTGCACAGTAAGCTATGCTACTGTGCAGTAAAGCGTCTCATGTAGACACACCCAGGATTGACTTTCAATGCTTGGGTGTCCCACCAACTCTTTCAAATGTTTGTTTTTACTGCTCTTGATTTTTGCAGTACAATTTGGGGATTCCTATGGAACCTCTGAGTCTGCTGCTCTTAGAATATCAGACTGATCTCTGTTCTCATTGCTTATTTTCATAGTCTCTTCTTCCACAATGTAAAAATCACTATCAGCATTGCAAGTGGAGATTTACTAAAGAAACAAAAAGCTGGGCATCGTTTTTCAATTATCATAGCATAGCCCCTTGCCCAGAAGTCATAGTGCACCATAGTAGCCATACAATTGGCTGATTTCTTTTGGTCTGTGAATTCATAAGGATGGGGAGAAAATAAATGTTTCAGTCTAGTGATGATTTGGAGAAATAGTAGGAGAGCTGCCAAAAGCAGTCAAGAATGAGTTGCTTCTGCCATAAGTGGTATCTGATGAGAGAGACAACCAAACCTGAAATCAATTTCCGGTTGAAACTTCAGTGAATAAATCTGTGAGTATCATATGTAGAATAAGAAGTTCAGCTACATTGTGCTATATTATATAAAAACTAGAAAGCACTCTACAGTTCCTGAGACAGAGTGTGTTAATGTTACCTGATCTCTTCAGAGTTTGTAAGGCCTTCTATTACTACAGCTAAAAATAAATATATAAAAAATCTGATGGTCCAACCTCTCCTGTTCATTATCTTTCCAAAGAAACAAAGATAAATTAACAGCCCATTCCTGGACACTATTAAAGCATAATAAAGTAACTAATACACTAGCTTATCTAACAAGTGGAACATGGAGCATTCCACACAGTGCATAAAGGATCTCTGCTGTTGGGGATGGGAGACGCTTCTGAATTTTTCTACTTGTATGATACACTTCAATATAAGCTAAATTTAGGAATCAGTGACTCAGAAACCTGTGATCTAGTTTGTGTGTTTCTGTGTGTTATGAATGTATGACAAAGTCTTTCTCAAAACAAATCACTGTTGTAAAAATGAATGCAAATATTCCACAGTACAGCTCTTATTTCATAATAAGAATTCTCACTATTTGTAATTCTGGTCTTCAAGATTTGGGGAAAAAAGGGGGCCTTATTTTTGCCATGTGTCACAACCCAAGGGTGTGATTTTGTTTGTGTGCGCTTCGGCACTGCTAAATTATTTCCTGCCACTAGGAGCTTTCTTTGCAGGGTGCGTTTCTTAGTTGCAAAGAGAAATGCACGGTGCAAAGGAGTTCCCGCCATTCGCATGCAAATTTGTGTCCCACTATTGGCCAGTTCTAAATTATTCCCACGTGGCGGCTAGTGATTGGCTTGCTAGCCATATAAGAGGCTTGAGCGGTTTCCGCCCAAGTTGGAGAACTCCGAGGAGAACCCCCGCAAGGGAGGACTCCACAACCATCTGGAGGAGGAGAACTTCACGTCTTGTAAAGAACTCTAAGCGCTGCGGAGCCTATCGAACCCAGCGCATACGTTAAGAAGGCTATAGGGGTCTGATCAACCTCTGGCCTCTCCCCGTTGCCGAGCGCAATCCTTCGATGAACCCCTTTTTCCCTGCGCGCAAGTTCCACGAAGTTCCTTCGTGTAAGTGTATCCAGAGCTCTTTTCTCCGAGTTGTTTTCTTCGGTTGACGCGACGGGCTCGCGTGTTTAGAGCCTTCAACCGGATTGGGCTAGAGGTTCACGTGGAAGGAACTGTTGTCCGCCTCTCTTCTTTTCTATCTGTAACCGCAACCCAAGCAAGTTTTCCTGCCTGCACCGCAACCATCTTCGGTGTAAGTAAAATAATCTTTAATCAACCGCTAAGCGTCCGTGCCTAATTCTAGCCCGCCGGCCTGCATTCCCCGACCCGGCGTGTCCGCGCTGCTGGCCACAGCCCGCCGCACACAGGCCCCCGAGGGCCTCGGACCGCTCCCGGCCCACGCACCATGATGCTTTAACCATGCTGATCACTACAGGGTTTTACAACAGTACTTTGATAAAGTTCCATGGAAATGTTTTATAAAATAACTAATATTTAGAATGGAAGAGTATGCTAGTTAACCTGTTTTTGAAAAGGTTAACTAGCATAATTTTTTATTCCAAATATTAATTTCTTCCTTTTAGCTGTTGTTACAATGTTCACCTTCCCAAATGTGATATTTTTTTTTCCAATTAGTGTTTTATGCTCAAGTACTTTGAACAATTTATATTGCTGGACTTATTTTACAATTTTGGATCATGAACAGATTAAATTAAAAAGTGAAGTGAAAGTAACTCCCAGTTATTTAAAATCCTTTCCATTGTATCAGCTTTATTCAAAATTAATCTCTTGTCAGCTTTTTATAAGTAGAAGTATTTTCTTTTTAAAAGCAAACTGTTGCTACAAAAAATAGTCACAACTCAATTTAAAACACTTTCTATTATTTTTTGAGAGATGAAGTTGAGTAGCAACTATTAAACATTTCAAAAGTATTGAAAAGTGGGAAATTTAGAAAGGGAAGTATTTATACTTTTTAAGCTAATTTCCACACATTTAACTGGGGAGTTGTAGTCAGGCACTTCTACATTTTTTTAAATATTTGAGATTGCTATCACTTTTAATTCTGGTGCTTGTCACACTACCATCACTTGAACACATGCACTTGAAAACACTCTTTTGAAAATGCATACTTGCCTTTACTCAGACAAATCCCAGGAATTACATTAAGCATAAATATTTGTAGGACCAGAGTCTTTCTTTGCATTGTGTTTATGAAAACAAAGTTTTAAGGAAGCAGTGGATTTTAGTTAAATATAGACTGTCTCGTTTAGCGATATTATACACTGGAAAATTATTATTTGTTTTGAAATATAAAATTAATATTTTAATGATTTATTCATGTGTTAGGCTTACCTCAGCAAAGAGCCTCTTAAATGCCTCTTGGGATGATTTCTGGAAAGAAAACATTGTCTTTGGTGATGTTTGCCAAGTTCTGTTAATGAAAAGCAACCCATTTGTTTTCTTTGCTTCAGGGTCTATTCCAAGTGTAAGTGTAATAATGCTATTGCAGCCATATTTCCTGACTGTTAGTTTCATGCTTGATGAAAGACGACTATTAATGTGTTATAGACCCTGTGCATCCTGATATGAAGAGATCTTTTAGGTCTGGTATTGTTTGAAATAACAGGCTGCTGAGTTCGTAGAGCTTTTAAGGTTTTACTATCCCACTGTAATTCTTCATGATAACAAATATGTAAGTTTACACTGCCACTGTTTTTTGTCATGAATGAAGCTCATTCTGTGTCCTGTAACTGTTTTGTTTCTTGCCATAGTTACTTGACTATGACCTAAATTTCTGTTTCAAGTTACGTGGTAGTGTAGCAATTTCCTGAATTGCTCCTGAGGCCCTAGAAGTAAGGAAGACCCTGGACTAAAGAGTTAGGGGGCTAGAATTCCAGGCTCTGC